CTTCATCTACATACGAACAATTAATATTATATACGTATTTTTTTGGTTATTTGACTTACCTAGGCATGCGAGAATAAACTGAAAATATCTTTAAAACCAGCACATACACAATTTTCTTCCAAAACCCGTCGCGATTTCAAGCAAACTAATTATTTCGTACGGATTCGACACTGCAGAAATATGTTCGGTAAATTCCGGTAAAATTTGTTGCTTTACACGTGATGATTCAATATAGAGGTGGGCGCATCAGATATATCGATTGTTTAGGAACGTTTAATTTTAATTAAAAAAAGTTGTTAGTACTTTATGTATTTCGACCCGCTGAATCCGAATCCGAGGACCGTTTGGCCCGTACACTGTCAAATTTTCGAGAAAACATTGAAAAACCGAAAGAAATGACGAAAATCGGCAGTTTTTAAACGGCTAAATAGATTTCCACCAAAAATCAAATGGGTAATAATCTTCATCTGATTATAGTCTATTTTTATGTACGAGAGAGTATTAAAATAATAAAGCGTTCTTAATCCATAGGCGTATCACTTCTTTTAGTAGACAGTTAAAATATTTTTTGAAGTTATTCCTCGAGTATACACTCATATTTTCACCTAATTAACCTGCTTATAACTTCTAAACAGCTGAAGGTAAAAAAGTGCAATTTTTTCTAAAATGTTTTATTTTTCCACAAGGTATGTTAAGAACATTGTGTCAAACGGGTTATGTAGGTATAAAGGTTTAAACTTTGACTTTTAAACAACGTTACATTCATAAATAATAATTTTAATATAAAAACTACTTCTTACCTACAAATCCAAATCAGAATCGAAATCAGAAGATGAACTCTCGCAACCAATATTTACAATGAGTGGCTCGATCATTTCATCAGTAATATTGTCCAACTTCCACATTTTCTCTTCTTCTTTAATCGTATGATTTACTGCCTTTTCCCAGTTTTGAGGCTTCACATTATTTACAGCCTCCAAAAACAACTGTTTAACATCACTCATTTTAAAAGAATTATTTTTTCTTGAAACTTCTCACTTTATCTGTGCCCATATCAGTTCAATCGGGTTTACTTCGCAATGATATGGTGGTGATCTAACCACCGTCATCCCACGATTCTTTTGCAATTTCATCAATTTCATATTTTTTGAATTTATCTTTATGAAGGGAACACAAATGATACAGTTCTTTTCTCACAGAACCGGGATGGAACTTAATATTCTTTGAATTTAGCCAATTCTGTAAATCTTTTTTTAACCACTTGGTTGTGGGCATTTTTTCTATAAGTCTCGAGTGATAACTTGCATTATCCATTACTATTATGCAGTTCTGAGGAAGAAGATCTATAATTTGTTCGAACCACTCTTTAAAGACATCAGCATTCATGTCCTCATGATAGTCACCGATACGAGTAGATTCAAAAGTCAATAAACCACCTTTAACAAAACCGTTTGAACTACCGATGTGTACTATTATTAGTCTGCGCCCCTTTTCTGATGGTGGATTTAAACCAGTAGATAAATTATTTAAAAAAGCCTGTCTTTGACTTGTAACAGTTTCATCTGGCCAAAATTTATTTGGTTTATGTCCCTCGTTGATCCATGTTTCATTTAAATAAAATATATTTCTTCTTTGGTTTCTCATTTCTTTTATAGTCCTTAGGTAATTTCTTCTCCATACTACAATATCGCTTCTTTCTATTAAAATAGACTTTATAGACTTTCTGGAATACTTTTTCCATAGAAAACCTATTTCTTTTAAAAGTTTCCATAGTGTGCTTCGACTCATTTCAAGGTAATCCTTATCATCTCGAACCGTGGCAAGAACTTTGTCTAATGTCGGAAATTCTTTTCTAAAGAAGAACGCATGCACTTTCCTTCGAAGTCTTTCTTTCAAAAACGTATTACTAACTAATGCCACTGTGTCATCAACACTTTTACATAAATGTTTGTCTGTAAATTATTTAAAACAATTAAATATTAATGTTTTTTCATTAACTGTTAAAGAACCGATTTTTTGTCGTTTACGCGGCCCTTCCAAATTTTCCATGATCACACTAGAATTCACACTGCACCTTGCAAGTTGCAACTAAACGACATTTAGTAAACTGTCAAGAATACACAACTTGGACCTCCTTACTAAATGGAAAACCTATAATCGCATTTTCGGTGAAATTTGTTGGGAAGGTATTTATCTACTTATAATTCGATTACTATAAGAAATTCTTGGAATTAAAATAAAACAAAATTGGCAAATAGGAACTTATTGAAATTAATCTTAAGATATGGCTATGTATTTTTTAATACACAGGGCTTTTGGCCTGTCCAAACCTTTTTCTATTGTTCTGTACAGCTTATGTTTATAAAGGGCCAATAAAAGACCCAAAACTTGTAATAGCTCAGGTACATTTATTATAATTTTAGGAAATATTTAGATTATTCTGTAGAAATATTTAAAATGACCGTACTAAGTTTTGCATTAGACATGCTGTTTTATTACTCTCTCATACATAAAAATAGACTATAAGAAACTACAGGGTGTGTCGGTGGTCGTACAACGGGCGCACCCGAATTCCGCTACCGGTTAAGGGTATCACTAAGTAGGCATCCGAATTCCGCTATGGAATCCCAAAAAAGTAGGTGGGTAGGTGCCAAATTTTTCACAACAAAAAAAAATTAAATTGGATACAAACATACCATGATTGGGTGAGGTAGAATCTACATCCAACAAACATTCTCGTAAACTTGAATGGATGGCCATCTCAAAGTCTACAACAACAGTTTTAGGGCGTTTTAGTAAGGAGGTCCAAGTAGTGTATTCTTGACAGTTTACTAAATGTCGTTTAGTTGCAACTTGCAAGGTGCAGTGTGAATTCTAGTGTGATCATGGAAAATTTGAAAGGGCCGCGTAAACGACAAAAAATCGGTCCTTTAACAGTTAATGAAAAAACATTAATATTTAATTGTTTTAAATCATTTACAGACAAACATTTATGTAAAAGTGTTGATGACACAGTGGAATTAGTTAGTAGTACGCTTGGTGTTGGGAAATCTACGATTTACAGAGTTGTTAAAGAAGAGAAATGTGGCGAGTTTCAAACAGCACGTAAAGCTCCAGGAAAACCAAAATTTCAATTAGAAAATCTTTTGAAAGAAAGACTTCGAAGGAAAGTGCATGCGTTCTTCTTTAGAAAAGAATTTTCGACAGTAGACAAAGTTCTTGCCACGGTTCGAGATGATAAGGATTACCCTGAAATGAGTCGAAGCACACTATGGAAACTTTTAAAAGAAATAGGTTTTCTATGGAAAAAGCATTCCAGAAAGTCTATTTTAATAGAAAGAAGCGATATTGTAGTATGGAGAAGAAATTACCTAAGGACTACAAAAGAAATGAGAAACCAAAAAAGAAATATATTTTATTTAGATGAAACATGGTTTAACGAGGGATATAAACCAAATAAATTTTGGCAATGTGAAACTGTTACAAGTCGAAGACAGGTTTTTTAAATAATTTATCTACTGGTTTAAATCCACCATCAGGAAAGGGGCGCAGACTAATAATAGTACACATCGGTAATTCAAACGGTTTTGTTAAAGGTGGTTTATTGACTTTTGAATCTTCTCGTACCGGTGACTACCATGAGGACATGAATGCTGATGTCTTTAAAGAGTGGTTCGAACAAATTATAAATCTTCCTCAGAACTGTATAATAGTAATGGATAATGCAAGTTATCACTCGAGACTTATAGAAAAAATGCCCACAACCAAGTGGTTAAAAAAAGATTTACAGAATTGGCTAAATTCAAAGAATATTAAGTTCCATCCCGGTTCTATGAGAAAAGAACTGTATCATTTGTGTTCCCTTCATAAAGATAAATTCAAAAAATATGAAATTGATGAAATTGCAAAAAAATCGTGGGATGACGGTGGTTAGATCACCACCATATCATTGCGAAGTAAACCCGATTGAACTGATATGGGCACAGATAAAGTGAGAAGTTTCAAGAAAAAATAATTCTTTTAAAATGAGTGATGTTAAACAGTTGTTTTGGAGGCTGTAAATAATGTGAAGCCTGAAAACTGGGAAAAGACAGTAAATCATATGATTAAAGAAGAAGAGAAAATATGGAAGTTGGACAATATTACTGATGAAATGATCGAGCCACTCATTGTAAATATTGGTTGCGACAGTTCATCTTCTGATTTCGATTCTGATTTGGATTTGTAGGTAAGAAGTAGTTTTTATATAAAAATTATTATTTATGAACGTAACGTTGTTTAAAAGTCAAAGTTTAAACCCTTATACCTACATAACTCGTTTGACACAATGTTCTTAACATACCTTGTGGAAAAATAAAACATTTTAGAAAAAATTGCACTTTTTTACCTTCAGCTGTTTAGAAGTTATAAGCAGGTTAATTAGGTGAAATACTCGAGGAATAACTTCAGGAATAACTTCAAAAAATATTTTAACTGTCTACTAGAAGAAGTGGTACGCCTATGGGTTACGAACGCTTTATTATTTTAATACTCTGTCATACATAAAAATAGACTATAGAACGTACTTATAAAGGTAAAAGTATTCCTAGTTTTTTTTTATTACCTTTACCCATTCCCTTTTTAGCATATTTTTATGAATAAAAGGCCCATAAATCGGAAGAATTTTCATCTCGAGAAGGGGCACCCCCCTGGCGCCGCCCTCGTTATAAGTTCATATTAATTAATAGTTTTATTTATATACGCAAATATTTAACCACAAAAGTAACTTATTAACGGTTTTTACAAGTTTTCTTTTCGTTATGAACTCAAAAAACCTTTTTTTTTGTTTTTTTCAAAAATTCGGACGTCCTAATAATCTGGATACAATTAATCCGGATAATCGACTCTACTGTATTTTTCTAATATGTTCCAAAATAATGATTTCCTTGAAACTTCCCATCTTTACACTTGTCGTTAAAATGAACAACCCGAGCAGACGGTGTTAACATTTCAATTATAGTCCCTATGAAATGTTACTTTAACGACTTATTCCATAATCATGATGGTATCAACTAGTTTATTGATTTTGCAAAAGGACAAACACGCGTTGCAGACTGCGGTATAATCCAAATACATACTGGAATTTTCGATTACACAGTTTGTATTTGTAGTTTTATCGTTTAATTAATTCTAACTTTAATAGATAATTTAGAAAAAAGCATGGTAGTAGTTATTTAAATTTGTATACAGTGAATGTGTAGAAGAGGTAGAGTTAATTTACTATTTTTTGTATGTTTTTGGAAAAGAAAGTCGTTTTAAATATTTAAAGTAATTAAAATCGTAAGTTGTACTACTACAGCACCATCTATGAGACACTAGTGACACTACTGGAAATGAAGGTAAGTTGGAATATGGAATTCTATATTTTTTACTATTAATATTGCTCAAAGAGGTCAGAAATGGTAAAGGTATAAAATAGATTAAAGCATTTACAAATAGGCGATTTTTATATTTGTGTTAATCTTTCTACTTCCTGAAAAAGATTCCAATTAAAATAAAAAATAGTAAATAGTTTACAATAAAAATATTTATACACGTTTTCATATTTGCAACGTGTAGGTAATAAAGACCAAAGTCGTTTCTGTTTATTTTCAAATAAATAAACTTTAAATAAATGTTTTTAAAACATAAAGGAGATTCCTAGAGTTCAAAAAGTACGCCGTCTTCACGAAAAATCATATTAAAATGCATTATCATGGAATTCTTTTTTACAAATCGTTCCAATAATACAAAAAATATTCCTATATACGATTTTCTTACGTATTTATCAATTTTGAAATGGTTTTTTAATTATTATTAGTTTATTTCAACTCTGATATTGAAAATATGATTGTTGTTGTTTAATTTTCTTATCCAGCGTTTCAAAATAACAAAATTCAAAACATTTAGAAAGATGAGCAACAGTTGTCTTATAGTTTTTCAGATTGATGTCCACCATGGCGAGTATTAAAGAAGCTAAAGGTGCATTGAGAGAAGCTACTATAAAAAAATTAACCAATGTATCTGCAGAAGAAAGAAAAATACAATCGGAGATTGTAAAAGAAAAGGTCAGTATTGAAAATGTTACTTTTAGAATACATTTTTTGACAAAATAAAATGGTTTTTATTATTTTTTTCTCGAAAATGAATGGAAATACGCAAAATTCTTGAGAAACAAAAAGTTTTATCTTAAATCAATTAATCCAAAGACAGTAAATAATTAAATATGTAAGAAATCAGTGGCGGGTTTAATCAGGATTCCTAATTAAATTTAAAATATAATCCTGTATGTATATTTTTTAAAAGATATGTGATATTTTAACTGTATGTTATTTATTTTAGCTTTTTGAGTTACCAGTATTTAAAAATTCGAAAAATATATCAGTATATTTAAGTTTGGATACAGAGATAAATACTGAAGCAATTATAGCAAAAATTTTTGAAGATGGAAAGAAATGCTTTGTTCCAAGGTACGTAGATTTTGGAAATTTAAACATTTAAATTATCAAAAATTCGAAAATTAATTCAAAAATTTAATAGTTCAAAAATTAAAAATATCAAAAATATCAAAAATATCAAAACTATCAAAAATATCAAAAATATCAAAAATTCAAAATATTAAAAATTCAAAACATCAAAAATTCTAAAATTTAAAAATTAAAATATTGAATTAAAAAATTCAAAAATTAAAAAATTGAAAAATTAAAAAATTAAAAAATTGAAAAATTAAAAAAATATTGAAATGTTGGGTGAAAAAATTGATAAAAAAATGTTGAATGGAAAAATAGATGAAAAAATTATGGAAATAATTTTGTACAAAAAATAAAAAATTGAAAAATTAAAAAAATTAATGTAACAATTGAAAAATGGAATAATTGAAAAATTGAAATATTGAAATATTGAAAAATTGAAAAATTAAAAAATTGAAAAATTAAATTAAAAAATTGAAAAATTAAAATATTGAAATGTTGGGTGAAAAAATTGATAAAAAAATGTTTCATGAAAAAAATGTTGAATGGAAAAATGGATGAAAAAATTATGGAAATATACAGAAAGTAAAAAAATTGAAAAATTAAGAAATTAAAAAATTGAAAAATTAAAAAAATGAAAAAATTAAAAAATTAAAAAATTAAAAAATTAAAAAATTAAAAAATTAAAAAATTAAAAATTAAAAAATTAAAAAATTAAAAAATTGAAAAATTGAAAAATTGAAAAATTGAAAAATTAAAAAAATTAAAACATTGAAAAAATAATGAAATGTTGAGTGAAAAAATTGATAAAAAATGTTTCATGAAAAAAATGTTGAATGGAAAAATGGATGAAAAAATTATGGAAATAATTTTGTACAAAAAATAAAAAAAATTGAAAATTTGATTGAAAAATTAAAAAAATTAATGAAACAATTAAAATTAAATAAAAATAACAATATGCTAACAATTATTGCTTTTCAATGTTTTGTTACAATTCTTAAAATAATAATACCACCAGCTGAAGCACACCGGATGTCGTCGATGTTCTTCTACCGATACAAATTAAGCGTTTTTGCCACATTGACTTATAATTATGAACATAATATATGACATTTTGTAGTTTCAAAAATCCTTTCTTTTATTTTCATTCTTAGATACAGAAAAGCTGGAATGGAAATGGTTCAGCTATATTCCATGCAAGATTGGGCAACATTACCAGTCACAAAATGGAACATTAAACAACCTTCATTTAAAGATCAGAGACAAGATGCTTTAAATTCAGGTATAACACTATATACCAATTCCGAAAGTACATTTATTGGAATACAAATAAGGAGAGACAAAGATAGATTATAGATATAGATAAGATATAGATAAAGATATAGATAAAGATATAGATAAAGATATAGATAAAGATATAGATAAAGATATAGATAAAGATATAGATAAAGATATAGATAAAGATATAGATAAAGATATAGATAAAGATATAGATAAAGATATAGATAAAGATATAGATAAAGATATAGATAAAGATATAGATAAAGATATAGATATAGATATAGATAAAGATATAGATAAAGATATAGATAAAGATATAGATAAAGATATAGATAAAGATATAGATAAAGATATAGATAAAGATATAGATAAAGATATAGATAAAGATATAGATAAAGATATAGATAAAGATATAGATAAAGATATAGATAAAGATATAGATAAAGATATAGATAAAGATATAGATAAAGATATAGATAAAGATATAGATAAAGATATAGATAAAGATATAGATAAAGATATAGATAAAGATATAGATAAAGATATAGATAAAGATATAGATAAAGATATAGATAAAGATATAGATAAAGATATAGATAAAGATATAGATAAAGATATAGATAAAGATATAGATAAAGATATAGATAAAGATATAGATAAAGATATAGATAAAGATAAAGATATAGATAAAGATATAGATAAAGATATAGATATAGATAAAGATATAGATAAAGATATAGATATAGATAAAGATATAGATTATATAGATAGAGCTAGAGATAGATATAGAGATAGATTTTTTATTAATTGATTTTGAGGATTAACAAGCACCAACAGCTTTAGTTATCATTTATTTTCAGGTCTGGATTTAATAATAGTACCAGGAGTCGCATTTACCAAAAACGGGGACAGATTAGGCCATGGGGCGGGCTACTATGATAAATACTTAAACAAAATCTGCCAACTACAATCCAAACCGCCAACATTAATAGCGCCTATTTTTAGAGAACAACTTGTTGATGATTTACCAACAGAAGAAACCGATCATAAAATTGATGTAATTTTATACGCTGAGTAATACATTATATGATTCATTTTTTAAATGTGCTTTTTATTTTTTTATTTATATAACTAAACTGATAAATTCTTAGTCGGTGTATTTACAGGTAGTTACCAAAAATTTTAAATTTAAAAAATTAGTCAAAAATTTAAAAGTTATAAAAAAACAAGGTCTAGATAATAAGGTCTAGAAAACAAGGTCTGAAGAACAAGGTCTGGAGAACCAGGTCCTAAAAACAAAGTCTCGAGAACAAGGTCTAAAAAACAAGGTCTAGATAATAAGATCTAAAGAACAAGGTATAGAAAACAAGGTCTAAAGAACAAGAATGTCTGGGTTCAAATTCGGGAATGCTTTTAACAAATCGTAAGGGTATTTTTGAGATTTTTTTCGAATTTTCAAATTATTCATCACTATTTTAGCAAAAATTCAAAAATACACCAGTAGCGCAAAAAATAAATAAATAACAATAAATAAATAACAAATAAGCAACGTTATGAATGAAATAGTATTTTGTGACTTCGCAAAGGCCTTTGATTGTGTTAACCATGAAATTTTAATTAAAAATCTACAAATTTATGGCATACGAGGTTCTCCTTTACAAAGGTTTAAAACTTATTTGTTGTTTAGATAACAAGGTCTAGAGAACAAGGTTTAGATAACAAGGTATAGAGAACAAGATTTAAATAACGAGGTCTAAAGAACAAGGTTTAGAGAACAAGGTCTAAAGAACAAGGTCTAAAGAACAAGGCCTAGAGAACAAAATTTAAAGAACAAGGTCTAGAGAACAAAATCTAGAGAACAAGGTCTATATAACAAAATATAGAAAATAAAATCTAGAGAACAAGGTCTAAAGTACAAAGGATGTCTGGGTTCAAATCCCAGCGATGGCGATAGGCGTTTTTCAAAATCTACAAGTATTTATTTTCTCTTTTGGGGTTAGGGGATGCTTTTAACTATTTGTAAGGGGTTTTTGACATTTGTTTTCGAATTTTCGAATGATTCAACCACTATTTTAGATATTTCTAACTTTTCGGATTTAGTTTTGCCATTTTTTTAAATAGATTAATTGTTGAATTAACTGTCTGTCAAATTTACTTTAAAATGTATCTTACGTTTACTTATTGATTCATGACCTTGTAAATAATGAGTTAATTAAAATACCATGAACGAATTAATATACTTAATAATAGTTATTATCTTATTACTAATGGTGACCATACACTCTATGATATGATCTGCACGTCAAGACAAACAGTTTTGATCTAAAGGCAAGTACTAATCAGCTCAGTTCACTCTTCATCTTCGCATTAGAGAAGAAGCAACATACGAGTGAGATCGAGCACTGAATAGATACACTGTACTGCTTAAATCTCACAAAAAACGTAACGTGTAAGGCCACTTTAAGTCAACTGGTTAAATTATTAATATTTTCTATGAACTAGTCAGTCTAATGTTGTTCACTGTTAAGAAATGATGGATTTATTGTAAATATAAGATAAACATCATTTATCTTTGATAAACCATATCAGAAATGTACTATTATCGGATAAAGTTTTGTATTAAATAAAAGTTAGCCAGTGTTTCCTAATTATTACAACAGTAAACATGAATTTAGTGATAAATTTAAGTGTATTATTATTATTTTTAAACTTTGCTAGCGGTGCTCGAATATTATGTGTATTTCAAATGCCTGCAGTCAGTCACCAACGTGTATTTCAACCGATATGGAGAGAACTATCATTAAGAGGTCACCAAGTCATCGTGGTAACCCCTAGACCTTTAAAAGATCCTTCATTAAAAAATTTAAAAGAGATAGACGTCAGCAATAATAATGAAATCATTAAGAAGCATGGTTTCCAATTTTTCATGAATAAAATTAACGGTATTCATACTAAAATACCTAAAATTTTCGCAATGCATTACGAATTCGCTGAGGTTATATTAAAAAACGAAGAATTTATAAAAATCTATAATAATAGTAATGAAAAATTTGATTTAGTTATCGCTCAAACTTATATTTCACCGGTACTATACAGTTTAGCAGCTAAATTTCAAGTACCTTTAATAGGAATCTCATCTATGGGTGGCTATATTGGAACACATTTTGGAATTGGCAATCCGCATTTTCCATCAATGTATTCGGAAATGTTTTTGCCATATCATGGACAGTTAACGTTCTATGAAAGACTGAAAAGTACGCTTTACTATCTCTTTGTTAGATTTTATAGAACTGCAGTTATTCTGCCGCAATCTGATGAACTAGCTAGAAAATATTTGGGTAATGATTTGCCGTATATTGAAGATATTGAGAAAAATATGAGTTTGCTCTTTTTAACAACAAATCCTTTTTTATATGTACCAAGACCTACTATACCTACGATTATTAGTTTGGAAAGTATTCACGTCAAACCGGTGGAAAGTTTACCGAACGTAAGTATAAAATTAGCTCTTGATGGGAACAGGGACTCATATCTTGCAATTGGAGCCTTTTTTCGTCACTATTTCCAAATTAATAAATTTATAAACTTCAAAATTTCAGAAAATATTAATAAAAAATTAGAAACATTATAAAATTGAAATTGGAACCTTTGTTTCGTCCCTAACTCCAAAACTAACAGATTTATAAACTTCAAAATTTCAGAACACATTTATAAAGAGTGTAGAAAGATTATTCTGCAAACAAAATTCTTAAATATCAACAGCTGTTGAAGATAGAGAGTATCAAAGTTTAATTCCTACTTGTTAAAGTTGAAATTGGAACCTTTGTTTCGTCCCTAATTCCAAAACTAATAGATTTATAAACTTCAAAATTTCAGAACACATTTATAAAGAGTGTAGAAAGATTATTCTGCAAACAAAATTCTTAAATATCAACAGCTGTTGAAGATAGAGAGTATCAAAGTTTAATTCCTACTTGTTAAAGTTGAAATTGGAACCTTTGTTTCGTCCCTAATTCCAAAACTAATAGATTTATAAACTTCAAAATTTCAGAACACATTTATAAAGAGTGTAGAAAGATTATTCTGCAAACAAAATTCTTAAATATCAACAGCTGTTAAAGATAAAGAGTATCAAAGTTTAATTCCTACTTGTTAAAATTGAAATTGGAACCTTTGTTTCGTCCCTAATTCCAAAACTAATAGATTTATAAACTTCAAAATCTCAGAACATATTTATAAAAAGTGTAGAAAGATTATAATGCAAACAAAATTCTTAAATATCAACAGCTGTTAAAGATAAAGAGTATCAAAGTTAAATTCCTACTTGTTAAAGTTGAAATTGGAACCTTTGTTTCGTCCCTAATTCCAAAACTAATAGATTTATAAACTTCAAAATTTCAGAACACATTTATAAAGAGTGTAGAAAGATTATTCTGCAAATAAAATTCTTAAATATCAACAGCTGTTAAAGATAAAGAGTATTAAAGTTTAATTCCTACTTGTTAAAGTTGAAATTGGAACCTTTGTTTCGTCCCTAATTCCAAAACTAATAGATTTATAAACTTCAAAATTTCAGAACACATTTATAAAGAGTGTAGAAAGATTATTCTGCAAATAAAATTCTTAAATATCAACAGCTGTTAAAGATAAAGAGTATCAAAGTTTAATTCCTACTTGTTAAAGTTGAAATTAGAACCTTTGTTTCGTCCCTAACTCCAAAACTAATAGATTTATAAACTTCAAAATTTCAGAACACATTTATAAAGAGTGTAGAAAGATTATTCTGCAAATAAAATTCTTAAATATCAACAGCTGTTAAAGATAAAGAGTATTAAAGTTTAATTCCTACTTGTTAAAGTTGAAATTGGAACCTTTGTTTCGTCCCTAAATCCAAAACTAATAGATTTATAAACTTCAAAATTTCAGAACACATTTATAAAGAGTGTAGAATCATTTTTCTACAAACAAAATTCTTCAATTCCAACAGCTATTAAAGATAGAGAGTAGCAAAGTTAAATTCCTACTTGTTAAAGTTGAAATTGGAACCTTTGTTTCATCCCTAATTCCAAAACTAATAGATTTATAAACTTCAAAATTTCAGAACACATTTATAAAGAGTGTAGAAAGATTATTCTGCAAATAAAATTCTTAAATATCAACAGCTGTTAAAGATAAAGAGTATCAAAGTTTAATTCCTACTTGTTAAAGTTGAAATTAGAACCTTTGTTTCGTCCCTAACTCCAAAACTAATAGATTTATAAACTTCAAAATTTCAGAACACATTTATAAAGAGTGTAGAAAGATTATTCTGCAAACAAAATTCTTAAATATCAACAGCTGTTAAAGATAAAGAGTATCAAAGTTTAATTCCTACTTGTTAAAATTGAAATTGGAACCTTTGTTTCGTCCCTAATTCCAAAACTAATAGATTTATAAACTTCAAAATCTCAGAACATATTTATAAAAAGTGTAGAAAGATTATAATGCAAACAAAATTCTTAAATATCAACAGCTGTTAAAGATAAAGAGTATCAAAGTTTAATTCCTACTTGTTAAAATTGAAATTGGAACCTTTGTTTCGTCCCTAATTCCAAAACTAATAGATTTATAAACTTCAAAATTTCAGAACACATTTATAAAGAGTGTAGAAAGATTATTCTGCAAACAAAATTCTTAAATATCAACAGCTGTTGAAGATAAAGAGTATCAAAGTTTAATTCCTACTTGTTAAAGTTGAAATTGGAACCTTTGTTTCGTCCCTAATTCCAAAACTAATAGATTTATAAACTTCAAAATTTCAGAACACATTTATAAAGAGTGTAGAAAGATTATTCTGCAAACAAAATTCTTAAATATCAACAGCTGTTGAAGATAGAGAGTATCAAAGTTTAATTCCTACTTGTTAAAATTGAAATTGGAACCTTTGTTTCGTCCCTAATTCCAAAACTAATAGATTTATAAACTTCAAAATTTCAGAACACATTTATAAAGAGTGTAGAAAGATTATTCTGCAAACAAAATTCTTAAATATCAACAGCTGTTGAAGATAGAGAGTATCAAAGTTTAATTCCTACTTGTTAAAGTTGAAATTGGAACCTTTGTTTCGTCCCTAATTCCAAAACTAATAGATTTATAAACTTCAAAATTTCAGAACACATTTATAAAGAGTGTAGAAAGATTATTCTGCAAACAAAATTCTTAAATATCAACAGCTGTTAAAGATAAAGAGTATCAAAGTTTAATTCCTACTTGTTAAAATTGAAATTGGAACCTTTGTTTCGTCCCTAATTCCAAAACTAATAGATTTATAAACTTCAAAATCTCAGAACATATTTATAAAAAGTGTAGAAAGATTATAATGCAAACAAAATTCTTAAATATCAACAGCTGTTAAAGATAAAGAGTATCAAAGTTAAATTCCTACTTGTTAAAGTTGAAATTGGAACCTTTGTTTCGTCCCTAATTCCAAAACTAATAGATTTATAAACTTCAAAATTTCAGAACACATTTATAAAGAGTGTAGAAAGATTATTCTGTAAATAAAATTCTTAAATATCAACAGCTGTTAAAGATAAAGAGTATCAAAGTTTAATTCCTACATGTTAAAGTTGAAATTGAAACCTTTGTTTCGTCCCTAACTCCAAAACTAATAGATTTATAAACTTCAAAATTTCAGAACACATTTATAAAGAGTGTAGAAAGATTATTCTGCAAACAAAATTCTTAAATATCAACAGCTGTTGAAGATAGAGAGTATCAAAGTTTAATTCCTACTTGTTAAAGTTGAAATTGGAACAGATACATTATTCTGCAAACAAAATTATGTGGCAGTTTCCAGCGTCACTTGATATTTGTTTTCGAAAATATTGCATAGTAGAAATTTTTATTATATTTCTTCTTGATTTAAAAACAAATTAAAAAAAATTAAATATTATATAATTCAGTTACATTTTTGTTATTTTTAGGACTTACAAACACTTTTAGATTCGTCAAAAGAAGGTGTTGTGTATTTTAGTTTAGGTTCAAATGTTCAAAGTATGAATATACCAGACAGAGTACGAGAAACTTTAATATCAACTTTTGCAGAGTTACCCTATAAGGTTTTATGGAAGTTTGAATCAGATAATTTACCTAACAAACCAAAAAATGTTATTATCAAAAAATGGCTGCCACAAAATGATGTTCTAGGTGTGTAATGCGCCATTTTTTATTATTTTTTGTACTAATCATTATTTTCTTCATTATTTTTCTATATTTATGTAAGTAAGGGCACATTTTAGGACAGAAGTTTTAAGAAATTTTCCACATAAAGTATCTGAAGTGTTTATGTAACACAGCATCAGTTAACTGTTTTTTTTTTTCGTTCTTAATGTCACTATACTTTCATGTTTAACACCCACAAGATCTAAATGTTTTGCTTTCTTCAATATTCTTTCTATTTCATGTTAGGCACAAATTTTTTTATCATCTTAGGACTACAAAATGTAATTGTGTATTTTTTTTTTATTAAATTTCAGCACATCCAAATATAAAAGTATTTTTGACACAATGCGGTCACCAATCCACAGAAGAAGCTGTATCCCGAGGTATACCATTGGTAGCACTACCATTCATAGCTGATCAAGAAATGGTCGCAAAAAGATTAGTAGAACTCGAGGTGGCAATTGGACTAGATTTCGTCACTTTTACTAAAGAAGATCTCAAGACAGCTATTATGGAAGCATCAACTAATCCAAAGTACGTAACAAAATTTAAAAAAAAAAGTATTTTTGTTGGCCAAAATTTTGAATTAATAATGCCAAGGATCATTAGGGACACTTCTTCTTACGTTATGAAATTATTCATAGTCAAAACATCAGTCAACGCGTTAATTTTGTTACTATTACAGTACTATTACAGCTTGCTATCGGCACAATATGCTGATTAAAGAAGAGAGGTTTCTGAAAATGCCTGTAGTTAAAAAAAGAGGCGAATCAAATAATTTAAGCGCTATTTTGTGTTCGTTACAAAAATAACTGTTTTTATTCTATTAGGTATAGAAAAAACATGGAACATTTGAGGGAAATGTGGATAGATCAACCAATGAATTCGTTAGATCGAGCAATGTGGTGGATAGAATACGTCATCCGTCATAAAGGCACCAGACACTTAAGAACGCCGTATTCAGATATATCTTGGATAGAATATTTGTTACTAGATGTAGTTTTGGTAATTACTTTGGTCAGTTTGACTGCTATATACTTTCTAATTTTGATTACTAAATGTATTTGCAACCTAATGTTTTTTAGAAGAAAATACAAAACTATTTAATAATAAATTAATTTTTCTTTTTAAATATCCTACAATTTCCTATAATTTTTCTGAAATTCCCCGCTATTTTTCCAAAATCACCCAATTTTTTAAAAATTATCAAAATGTTACTGAAAATCCCCCGTTTTATTAATGCCTTGTTATTTTATAAAAATATTCACAATTCCCCCTAATTTTTTAAAAAAAATCCTCAAAATTTTCCTCGTATCCCCACAATTTCCCACTATTTTTTCAAAATACCCTTTTTTTAATTCCCAAGTTCCCAATTTCCACCAGAATTATCTACTAGTTTTCCAAAATCCTCACAATTCCACCATTTTCAATTTTCCTCACAATTCCCTACTATTTTTTCAAAGTTCCCCTACAATTCCCCACTATTTTTTCAAAGTTCCTCTACAATTCCCCACTGATTCTAAAATCCCCCATTTTTTAATTTCCTATTTTCCAAAATATCCCTACAATTTTTCTGAAATTTCCGTTTTTTAATTCCTAGCTATTTTTCAAAATCCCCACAAATCCCCCACGATTTTTCCAATATTCCCAACAATTTCATACTATTTTTCCAAAGTTCTTTTAGAATTCTCTACTATTTTTCCAAAATCCTGCTACAACTCCCCACTACTTTTTCAAACTCCTGCTACCATTTCCCACTATTTTTCTGAAACTTCCAATATTTTTATTACTCACTATTTTCCTAATTATCTCTACAATTTTTCTGAAACTTCCTTGTTTTATTAATTCCCTGCTATTTTTTCAAAATCCCCCACTAATCTTCATATTTTTTTTTAAATCTTCAAAATTTTCCCTTTTCCTACAATTCCCATTATTTTTCCAAAATACCCAATTTTTTAATTCCCCACAAGTTCCCAATTTCCATCAGAATTATTCACTAAGTTTTCCAAAATCCCCATAACTCCACTATTTTTCAATTTTCCTCACAATTCCCTATTAATTTTCCAAAGTTTCTCTACAATTCCCCACTATTTTTCCAAACTATTCCTACAATTCCCCACTATTTTTCTGAAATCCCTATTTTTTAATTACTTACTATTTTCCAAAATATCCTTACAATTTTTCTAAAATTCCCGTTATTTAATTCCCGCTATTTTTTCAAAATCCCCACAAATCCCCAATTTTTTTATTCCCCAGAATCCCGCACGATTTTTCCAATATTACCAACAATTTACCATTTTTCTTCTTTTCTCCACAATTCCATACTATTTTTCCAAAGTTTCTCTAGAATTCCCCACTATTTTTTTCAAGATTCTGTTACAATTCCCCATTACTTTTCTAAAATCCTACTATGATTCGTTACTATTTTTCTGATACTTTCAATTTTTTAATTCCCCACTATTTTTCTAATTATCCCTACAATTTTTCTGAAATTCCCCCGTTTAATAATTCCACGCTATTTTTCCAAAATCTCCCACAATTTTTTTAAAAATCATTAAAATGTTCCTGAAAATTTCCCCTATTTATTAATTCTTTGTTATTTTTCCAAAATCCCCACAATTCCCCCATTTTTTTTAATCCTTAAAATTTTCTCCCTATCTCTACAATTCCCCACTATTTTTCCAAAATACTTTTTTTTTAATTCCTCACTAGTTCTTAATTTCCCATACAATTATCTACTAATTTTCCAAAATCCCCCTAATTTCATCATTTTTTCGATTTTCCTCACAATTCCCTATTATTTTTCCAAAGTTCCACTACAATTCCCAACTATTTTTTCAAAGTTCCCCTACAATTCCCTACTATTTTTCTGAAATACCCAATTTTTTAATTTCTTACTATTTTCCAAAATATCCCGACAATTTTTTTGAAAATCCCGTTTTTTTAATTCCCGCTATTTTTTTAAAATCCCCACAAATCTCCCAATTTTTTATTCCCCCAGAATACCCCACGATTTTACCAATAACCCCAACAATTTCACCATTTTTCTTCTTTTCCCTACAATTCCATACTATTTTTCTAAAGTTCTTCTTGAATTCCCTACCATTTTTCCAAAATCCTGCTACAATTCCCCACTATTTTTTCAAAAACCTGTTACAATTTCTCATTATTTTTTTGAAACTTCCAATTTTTTAATTGCTCACTATTTTCCTAATTATCCCTATAATTTTTCTGAAATTTCTCTGTTTTATTAATTCTCTGCTATTTTTCCAAAATCCCCCACAATCCTCCTCAAAATTTCCCCCTGTCTCCACAATGTTTCTAAAATGACCAATTTTTGTAATTCCCCACAAGTTCCCAATTTCCCCCAGAATTATCCACTAGTTTTGCAAAATCCCCACAATTCCACCATTTTTCAATTTTCCTCACAATTGCTTACTATTTTTCCAAAGTTCCCTATAATTAAACATCTGGAATAAATAAATATATTTACGTATTTTAACGAGAAACTGCAGTTGTGTGTGGCTCTAACACTAAAATATTACATAAACAAAACTAAACCTTTTCACAAGTGTTTTTAACTTTTAAAAAATTTTCAGTAAATAGCAATCTTCATCCGCAGCTTTGCGTTATGGGGTTAGTATTGATGCAATAAAATATACTGCAGGATGGTCAGAGTCTTCAAGAGTGTTTGCTACTTTTTATAATAAACCACTGTGCTCAGATAAAACAGAATTTATTAAAAGTATTACACGTTGATTACTATTTATTGTTTCTACAAAATATAATATGTTTTTCTAAAAATACCTTGATATCGATGTAGGTATATCTTTCTCTAATTATAAATCCTTTTAAATAGTACGTTTGACATTAAATGTAGGTATTGTCTCCATATTGCTCAACAAAAGTGCTCAAGTTTCTGAGGGCTATGATAATAACTTAAAAAGTTTTTGAAAGAACGCCGTGTCAATATCCACTGTCGACTTTTTGTGTTCCAATCTTTATAACCTGTGATACATTTACTTATTACTAACAAAATTTAGTCAATCTATAATTGATCGAAACAACATTTCGTGACACAGGAATTATATTTTCATTACAACTTCTATAATTTAAATTCGCTTATTTGGGAATTATAAAAATAACGAGTATTTATTTAAAAGAGATTGTTCTAAGACTATCAAATTTGATTCAAACGGAAATGAAGTAAAAGTAAGTTACTCCAGTTGCGAATAATATATTATTATAAGAATGAATGGTAATATTTTCTGAAATTATTAAGGCAAGGTATTTAAAATATTAAATCTTCTGATATAGATAAGATTTAAGTGGTTATGCAATGTTATATTTATTACAAGATAAAATGCAAGAAATGCATCACCAAAAATGTATATATCCTTTCTATCGTTAGTTATTTTTAATCACGAAGTAATTCTAATAAATTAGACTTTTACTCACCCCTCTTTTGAATTAAAATTTATTAAGAAAAAGGTTGGTTTTGTGTGTTGTAAGTATATAAAGCTGGGAATGTAATTTAAATTTGATTATACGTTTTTGTGCTCTTATTGATATTACATCTACTGAATTTTTAGAAGTAAAAATATATAATGTATCGTGTACTGATTGTGTGTGCTTTAACAGGTAAGATTATCAAATAATATTGTAAATTACAAGCCACAGTACACTCCAATATTCGCAACGTTAACTAAGAATCCTTTTGTTCAAAATATGGCGTAATAATCTTATTAATTTTAAACGGTAACTGTTATAATGTATGTTAAGTTATACTGGTCAATGTTCTGAAATTAAAGTTGGTAATGAGCCACTTGGGTGCTTTCTACCACAGCGTTTTTTTAACGTTTTCCTGACTTTTTATACAAAGTAGTTCATTTACCAAACACACTTTAGGTAAAACGTCGAAAAAAAAACGTCAAAAAACATCGAAAAAACGTCGAGGGGGCCACTCTGCTTTTTACCACAGCGTTTTTCGACGGTTTTCGATGTTTTTCGACATTTTTCGACGTTTTTTCGACGTTTTTTTTAACGTTTTTCGATGTTTTCCACGTTTTTTGACGTTTTTTTTTTCGACGGTGCCCCCCATCACTCTGCTTTCTACCACAGAGTTTTTTGACGTTTTCTCGACTTTTTATACAAAGTATTTCATTTATCAAACACACTTTAGGTAAAACGTCGAAAAAAAAAACGTCAAAAAATGTCGAAAAAACGTCGAGGGGGCCACTCTGCTTTTTACCACAGCGTTTTTCGACGGTTTTCGACGTTTTTTGAAGTTTTTTTTGACGTTTTTCGATGTTTTCCACGTTTTTTGACGTTTTTTTTTTCGACGGTGCCCCCCATCATTCTACTTTCTACCACAGCGTTTTTTGACGTTTTCTCGACTTTTTATACAAAGTATTTCTTTTATCAAACACACTTTAGGTAAAACGTCGAAAAAAAAACGTCAAAAAACGTCGAAAAACATCGAAAAAACGTCGAGGGGGCCACTTTGCTTTTTACCATTTTTCGACGGTTTTCAATGTTTTTGGCAGTTTTTTCGACGTTTTTTGACGTTTTTAGAAGTTTTTCGATGTTTTCCACGTTTTTTTGACGTTTTTTTTTCGACGATGCCCCCCCATCACTCTGCTTTCTGCCACAGCGTTTTCTCGACTTTTTATATAAAGTATTTCATTTATCAAACACACTTTAGGTAAAACGTCGAAAAAAAAAAAAAAACGTCAAAAAACGTCGAAACATGTCTCAAAAACGTCGAGGGGGCCACTCTGCTTTTTACCACAGCGTTTTTCGACGGTTTTCGACGTTTTTTGAAGTTTTTTTGACGTTTTTCGATGTTTTCCACGTTTTTTGACGTTTTTTTTTTCGACCGTGCCCCCCATCATTCTACTTTCTACCACAGCGTTTTTTGACGTTTTCTCGACTTTTTATACAAAGTATTTCTTTTATCAAACACACTTTAGGTAAAACGTCGAAAAAAAAAAACGTCAAAAAACATCGAAAAAACGTCGAGGGGGCCACTTTGCTTTTTACCATTTTTCGACGGTTTTCAATGTTTTTGGCAGTTTTTTCGACGTTTTTTGACGTTTTTAGAAGTT